TACGTTTAATTTATTTTACCAAGGAGCAATTACTAAGGACACGTTATCACTGCAGTCAAAGCAATTCACGTAACAAAAGTCAAAGTAATTCACCCCTCAAAATCATAACACTTTAACTATTTCTGAAGAAGAACTCATGAAGAGGAGAAGGCTTAAGCATTCTTCCAACAAAAGGAAAGGTAACTCTTTGAGATTGTGCTTGTCACATCATTTGAGTGCCATAAAAAAATGTACATGCATCTGCATATCAGAAATTCGGTTTGCATTTAGGAAGCAAAATGCTGCAAATTGTTTTCATTTTTATGTAATAGTATTTAAGAAATGGCCTAAAACCCATGAAAATAGGCGAGGATGTAAAAATGGAAACTGCATGGTGAAGAGTTGGTGAGCTCTGGGAGGTGAGCAAACACATTTACAATTTACTTGACTTTAAATGTACTCAATCAATCAAAGGACTCCAACATTGTTATTTGAGAAATAGAGCAATATTTCTGTAAAACTCAAAAGAAGTGGAACCTCTCAGGAGCAAATAATGTAAAGGAAATGAAGAATTTGAGGGAAATTTCTGTGAACAGGGAATGAAGAATGAGGCTGAGGAAATTTCAAGAGAAAATGAAAAATAAAAATGAAGAGGTAGAGTGAAAAAAGATTGCAAGAATGAGAGCTCAAACCCTGACTTTCCTGCAGGCCAGATGACTTACGTCATTGGCTTCAGCTGAGACAAGAGTTCACTGAAAGAGCACTGGAGCTGTTAGCAGTCCAACCAAGATTATTTGGTGGAGGAAAGGATTTGAGGCAAAACAGTTTTATTGTGTTAAAAGCCCCAAGGAAAACAAAAGTTTTTGAAGCCATAGCAAAGTTCCACTGTGTTGAGACTTTCAGGATTGGGAATAAAAAAATAACCATTTCTAGCTTCAGCTCTACAATCTGCTGTCCTGCTGACACACAAGAAAGAGCTGAGGGAGATCCCTGGAACTTTTTATTTTTCTGAGAGCTACAGGTAGCCAACGACCATTAATATATTTTGACCTAAATGACATATTTAGGAAAGTGTATGATTTTACAGTGTTTCTGAAAAGTGGGTTAGCTGTTGCATCAGTGAGAAACAACTTGAAAAGCATCACTGATACAACAAGAAAGGGAGCCTGAGGTGGTGGCTGTCCATGCACCATCAGGCCATTTTGGGGCAGGCAGTTCGGCAGTGGTACCACTATTTGTGCTGCTGAAAAACCTGAACTTTGCAAATGCAGGTGGCAAATGCAAATGGTTCCTGGATGCTGAAGACTGCAAGCAGATTTTTGAATGGTTACCCATCTGCAGAGGAAGGAGAGAAATTTCAGAAGAATTTTTATGAACTTATAAATTTGTGAAGACTGGATGACAGTGTAGCCTTGAAAAGTTTGCCATGTGAGCATTTTAAAGTTTTTGGGTTTTTTTTCCCCAATATGAAATATCATTTCTGTTGAAACTTTGTCCATTTATTTGCTCAGACAATCTCCCCAGTAAGGAGAGACTTTGAATTGTTTAGAAGACTAGTAGGGGGAGTCCCCTGGGATTCAGTCTTAGAGGGTAAAGAGGTCCAAGACAACTGGTTGCTCTTCAAGAAGGTAGTCTTACAGGCGCAGGAGCGGGCTGTCCCCCTGAGCTGCAAAATGAGCCGGCGGGGAAGGAGACCGGCGTGGATGAATAGGGAACTATTCTTGAGGCTCCGGGAGAAAAAGAGAATCTACCTCCTGTGGAAGAAGGGACGGGCAACTCAGAAAGAGTAGAGAGAAGTTGTTAAGATGTGCAGGGAGAAAATCAGAAAGGTGAAAGCCCAGCTCGAACTCAACCTGGCCGCTGGGATAAACAGAAACAAGAAACCCTTTTACAAATACAACAGTAAGAGGAGGACTAAGGAGAATCTCCATTCTTTACTGGATGAGGCTGGGAATGTGACTACTGAGGATAAGGAAAAGGCAGAGGTCCTGAATGCCTTCTTTACGTCTGTCTTTAAAGGTCTGACCAGTTATCCTCAGGTACTCCACTTTTTGACCTGGTAGTCTCGGCTGGGGAGCAGACTAAAGCACCCACAATTCAGGAGGAAACAGTCAGAGACCTGCTACTCCAACTGGACTGTCACAAGTCCATGGGGCCAGATGAGATTCACCCGAGAGTGCTGAGGGAACTGGCAGAGGTGATAGCCGAGCCGCTTTCCATCATCTATCAGCGCTCCTTGTTGACTGGTGAAGTACCAGAAGACTGGAGGCTTGCCAATGTGACTCCCATCTACAAGAAGGGCTGTAAGGAGGACCCGGGGAACTACAGGCCTGTTAGCCTGACCTCAGTGCCAGGGAAGGTTATGGAACAGATTGTCTTGAGGGAGATCACGCGGCAAGTGCGGGACAACCGGGGGATCAGGCCTAGCCAGCATGGGTTCACGAAGGGCAGGTCCTGCTTGACCAACCTGATCTCCTTCTATGATCTAGTGACTCACCTGGTGGATGAGGGAAAGGCTGTTGATGTAGTCTACCTAGACTTCAGCAAAGCCTTTGACACTGTCTCCCACGGTATTCTCCTGCAGAAGCTGGCAGTCCGTGGCTTGGACAGGTACACTCTTGGCTGGGTAAGGAACTGGCTGGAGCACCGGGCCCAGAGAGTGGTGGTCAGTGGAGCTAAATCCAGCTGGCGACTGGTCACAAGTGGTGTTCCCCAGGGGTCGGTGCTGGGGCCTGTCCTCTTCAATATCTTTATTGATGACCTGGATGAGGGCATTGAGTGCACCCTCAGTAAGTTTGCAGATGACACCAAGTTGGCTGGAAGTGTCGATCTGCCTGGGGGTAGTGAGGCCCTACAGAGGGATCTGGACAGGCTGGATAGCTGGGCTGAAGCCAATGGGATGAGGTTCAACAAGACCAAATGCTGGGTCCTGCACTTTGGCCACAACAACCCCAGGCAACACTACAGGCTTGGGGCAGAATGGCTGGAAGACTGCGTAGAGGAAATGGACCTGCAGGTATTGACTCGGCTGCTCGGCTGAACATGAGCCAGCAGTGTGCCCAGGTGGCCAAGAAGGCCAATGGCATCCTGGCTTGCATCAGGGACGGTGTTGCCAGCAGGAACAGGGAAGTGATTGTCCCCCTGTACTCAGCTCTGGTGAGGCCGCACCTCGAGTACTGTGTCCAGTTCTGGGCCCCTCACTGCAAGAAAGACATTGAGGCCCTGGAGTGTGTTCAAAGAAGGGCAACAAAGCTGGTGAGGGGTCTGGAGCACAGGTCTTATGAGGAGCGGCTGAGGGAGCTGCATTGTTCAGTCTGGAGAAGAGGAGGCTCAGGGGAGACCTTATTGCTCTCCATAACTGCCTGAAGGGAGGTTGTAGCGAGCTGGGGGTCGGCCTCTTCTCTCGTGTAACTGGTGATAGGACTAGAGGGAATGGCTTCAAGCTGCACCAGGGGAGATTCAGGCTGGACATCAGGAAATACTACTTCTCTGAAAGAGTGGTCAGGCAGTGAAATGGGCTGCCCAGGGATGTGGTGGAGTCACCAACCCTGGAGGTGTTCAAGGAACGTTTGGATGTTGTGTTGAGGGATATGGTTTAGCAAGAACCATTGGTGATAGGTGGATGGTTGGACTGGATGATCTTATAGGTCTTTTCCAACCTTAGTGATTCTGTGATTCTGTGATTCTGTGATCACTTATTGTATTTCTACACTGTTAAAAAAATCACAAAGGAAGCAAAAAGGTCATTGACATATAACTAGATGACCATGACAAAATAAGCCTGACTTAAATAATGGGAAGATCTGAAAAAAAAAAAAAAAGAAAAAGAAAAAGAAAAAAAGATGAATTTCCAAAGCCTTATAACAACAATAAAAGAAATAGTAATAATAAGTACCTCCTTGTTATAATACAATCAAATTAACAGATATACATTATGCTTTTAGTAGGATCAGATGATTTGCTTCAACTTCAGAAATTTTGAGACATAGTATGTAACTCTTGTGCTATTTATCAGATATAAATTACATTCATTCTTGCTCCTTTATCAATTCTCAAGATAAAAATTTACAACATATTATTTTCCACTCTACTTTATTGATCATAGTCTCTCTGATGCATTATGGAACATTAATTCATTTTCAAAAAGTTGCTGTGGTTTGGCTAAGAGAGAGAAAGTGTTTTTCATGGCATTTATAAAACATTTTCCTCTCTATTTAGCAAAAACATTTACTGGAATTTGCACAGAAGGAAGAATGTGCCAAGTTAGAAAATAGATGCTTGGCAGAATACTCTGTACATGCATCGATGCAGGAAGATTGTTCCTTTTGTGAAACAGTCTAGCTCAAAGAACAGAAAAGAAGGGATTAAAATATCCTCTGAGGAATTGTCAGAGCTTTAACTTGAAAGGGAGCCTGCTTTAAACCTTTTTATGTTTGACATGAGTAAAAATTGTACTTTACTTATTATCTTCCTGTACCCTAACTTGTTCCTGCAGTCTTCTCTGGGCAGGTGTTGTCAGAGCAGCTCACCTTTGGTGACTAGAGCCTGGGTGATGTTAGCAGAGGACAAAGTGTACCTTGGTGGGGAATAGTAGTGGAGCCCAAATGCTGCACCCAGGCTTGGAGTTCAAAGTTTTATTAATTAAAACAAATCCATTGAAAAAGACTGTTACAAATTCATTGCAAATGCAATCCCTGAGTATACTTGACATGCAATTATCAGTCTCACCTCTGTGCAAGGCAAAATCATGGGGCAGATCCTCCAGGAAGATATAATAAGGCACATGGAAACAGGAAGGTGATATGGGAGAATCAGCATGGCTTCATCAAGGGCAAATCCTGCTTGAGCAACCTAGTGGCTTCCCATAATGGTGTCACTGCATCAGTGGTTAAGGGAACAGCCACTGATGTCAGCTATCTGGACTTCAGTAAGGCCTTTGACACGGTATGTCCCAACATCCTTCTCTCCAAATTGGACAAAGATGGATTTGATGGGTTGCCTGTTTGATGGAGAAAGAACTGGCTGCAGGATAAAGTCCAGAGAGTGGTGGTCAATGACTCCATGTCTGGATGGAGACTGGTGATGAGTGGTACCTCCAAGGGGTCGGTGCTAGGGCCAATACTCTTTAATATCTTCATCAAAGACACTGATAGTGGGGTTGAGTGAACCCTCAGCAAGTTTGCTGATGACACCAAGCTGTGGGGTGCAGTTGACAGAGGGCAGAGCAGAGAGATGGGATGCCATCTGGAAGGACCCAGACAGGCTTGAGCAGTGGGCCCAGGTGAACTTCATTAGGTTCAACGGATGCAAGATATTGCTGCAGGGTTGAGGCACTCCCACTGCCAATTCAAGCTGGGGAATGAAAGGACAGAGAGCAGCCCCGCTGAAAAAGACCAGAGGGTAATGGTGAATAGCAAGCTGGACATGAGCCAACAATGTGTCCTCACAGCCCAGAAAGCCAACCGTATCCTGGGCTGCATCAAAAGAAGCATTGGCCATCAGGGGGAGGGAGGTGATCCTGCTCCTCTGTTCTGCGCTAGTGAGGCCTTACCTGGAGTATTGCATCCAGATGTGGAGTCCTCAGGACAGAAGAGACATGGACCTGTTTGGAGCATGTTCAGAGGAGAGCCAGAAAAATGATCCACAGAATGGAACACCTCTCCTATGAGGACAGACTGAGACAGCTGGGACTCTTCAGCCTGGAGAAGAGAAGTGACAAAAGTGACCTGATAGTGGCCTTTCAGTATCTAAAGTGTTGCTACAGAAAAGCAAGGGACAGACTCTTTAGCAGGGTCTATGGTGATAGAAGGGGAAATGGCTTCAAGCTCAAAGAGGGTAAATCTGGCTGGATTTAAGGAAAAAGTCTTTTACAATGAGGGTGGTGAGGCATTGGAACAGGTTACACAGAGATGTGTCTGATGCCCCATCCTTGGAGACTTTCAAGTCAAGACTGGATAAGGCCCTGGGCAACCTGATCTAGCTGCGCATGTCCCTGTTCATTGCAGGGGAGTTGGACTAGATGACCTTTGAAGGCCCCTTTCCAACTCTAAGGATTCTATGATTCTACGATTCTATAATTACACAAACATGTACTTAACTCACCACCCATGAGCACTAAAAACTGCCTATTCAAATATTCATTTTAAGTATTGAAAGAAAATCAATGTAGACTTTCAAAACCAGAAGGAGTAACCAAAAACAGATATCATAAACTACCTTAACCATGGTCTTTCTTTCCATCCTTAGTGACCTCGCAGTGTTCATTCGTTTTTCTTTCTCCTCTTGTTTTCAGCAGCTGGCTGTGTTTGTAATAAATTGTACAGTCCTTCCTAGCTCTTGAGGGGGACTACTTGTTATTTCATCATTTCTGAATCTTGGCCATGACTTGCTCTTTGCCACAGTCTGCAACTGCTGCAGTGTTTCATGGCCTATCCAAGCTCCCCATCCTCCAGCTGAGCACAGAGCAGGCACAGCTTCTTCCCCATTGGTTTATCTGACTTCATGAAGAGAAGCCAAGCAGGGCAAGTACAGTAGGCTTGTTCACTGCTGCTCAGCTGCGCCCTTTTGATGAATGCCGCCACACATTGCTCACAGAGTTAGCTGTGAACACACAAAAACAGAGATGACATGTAATTTAGCACATGGTGTATTTCCAGTACACTAAAGGACAAGGAAATGATGTAGCTGAAACTAAGCAAGCATTAGAGGAAATTTATACCAACCCAAAAGGAAAAAAAAAAAAAAAGCAACAACAACAACAACAAAACATCACTCAGATAAATTTTTGTTCAAAAAACAAGCATGGCATATCTGATTTCTTAGACATAATCTGCAAAGACGGGTGTTGAAATAAGCATCCTGGTAACCCAAATCCTTAGCTGTACTAAAAATTAAGGTTCCAAGAACCCCTTAAGGGGAAATTGAAAGGGTAGATAACAGCAGGACAAGGGGAAATGGTTTTAAGTTGAAGAGGGAAGATTTAGTTCAGGGGGAAATTCTTTACTATGAAAGTGGTAAGGTGCTGGAACAGGTTGCCTGGAGAGGCTGTGGATGTCCATCCCTGGAGGTGTTCAAGGCCAGATTGGATGGGGCCCTGGGCAGCCTGGTCTAGCATTAAATGGGGAGGCTGGTGGCCCTGCATGTGGCAGGGGGGTAGGAGATTCTTGATCTTTGAGGTACCTTCCGACCCTGGCCATTCTTTGATTCTGTTTTCTGGCCACATAATTAAGCACCCTTGAGCTTTTCCTGTCCTCTCCTGCAATAGCAGATTTAATTCAAGAGGTTGCCTCTGTAAGGGGAGAGATTGCTTTGCCCACTCTTCTTCTGCCCCAGGACTCTGGTGTTTGTCATATCCTTTCACTGGTAGATTAAAACAAACCAGAAGTTTTGATGTTTTTTAATTGTCATATTTAGTTTATTTGGGAGATTTTGGCACAAGGTAATAGGAGGGGCAGTGCAGACTTTTGGTGCCAGTGAGGTGGTGGGTTACCTTATCCCTATTCAGCTATTCACCACCTATTCAGTGGTCTCCTAGTCAGAGGAAGGATACTGTCACCCTATAAGCTTTCAGAGCAGAGAAGATGGTGATTAACATAGCTGTATAAGGCACTTGTCAAGTACTGATCAGAAATCTTCAGATCTAGAGTGAAGTACCAAGAAGCTGTACCTCACACAAACATGTCCTTAACACAAAAATTCTGTGATATGCAAGAGGTCAAAGTAAGTGAACTAATGATCCCTTTGGCCTATTAAAAATGTAAGAAAAAGGAAAACATAAATAAGTAAATAACTTGTAAACAGTTCACTGCTGGAATCCAGGATTTTGTTTTGGACTTCAGTCTGGCTTTGAAGTCTCTCTCCTCCACTGCTATGTCTTTTCAAACTCATAATAAAGAAAATTGATTATGACCTTCTAGAAAAGGGAAAAGATGCTAACTTACTATCTTAAATGAGACAAACTGGCTATTACCTCAAATTATATTTCAGGCTGAAGTTCCTATTCTAGTACTGCTTTTTCTCTTCTCCATCCAAAAAGGCTATTGGAAAAACTTTGGAGTTTAAGTATTGCATCAACAGTGGGTAAATAGAGCAGCTCTTTGGTTTTGGCATGGGACCAGAATGAGGTCATATTTGCTGCAATAACAAAAACTGGTAGAATTTAGAAAATGATTGAACAGTGGCAACACTATCACCTCTGGCACTGGCTTATTGCATGCTGCTTAAGGCAGCTGTACCTTAAGAATCAAAGCATTTATTTTGCTCTTTGGCATTCTCTATTTTCAATTATTTTTGAACTACCACTTCTATGGGAGATTATTTCAGAGCTGATGCTCTGGGCTAGAACTAACCACCTGGCTTTATTCAGGACTTAATTGGGAAAAACTTTTTACAATAAGAAATAATGGCAAATAGGACTTTAAATTGTCTTATCTCCAGATCAGTGCAGCAAAAAGAATCCTGCGGTGTTATATTCCTGCCTTCTCTTCTCTATGGGTGGTGCTGCTCTAGCTACTCCTAGCATGCGACCTAAATAGGCTAATCATATTTTCAGTAAAATCTCTCTGTGACTATGGATGAAGTCACTTGCCTTCCCTATCTCTGCTGGATCAACAGTTAAGAACAGTGCCAAGGCTGATGTTGCACACTGCACTCCCTAGTTGCCTCGTGAATTCCTTTTTTTTTTTTTTTTTGTTTTCCATTTGGGATGCTTCAATCTCCCTTCTGCCCTTCAAGATCAATATGTTTTCAGTAAGAACATTATTCAGGCCTGCATCTGTTTTCAGTTGATGTCCTAGTACAGAATTAAACGTTGAGCTGAGAGCAGGCAGGACAGCATGAGTCAGTGGGAAAGGACTGGAATATAAGGGCAGTTTAAAATAGCTTCTTTCTCCCAAGAGTGTTTCTTTTCAGAGGTCAGATGCTGCAAAGAACTTGTGAGCCTCTTCAACCTTTAAAAGGCTGTAAGCAGTTCTCTTTTGGGACATACTCCATATTTATTTACTGCTCCTCTTTCACTCCAGCTCTGCACTATCCTTTATGTGAATTTTCCCTTTTCATCCATACTCTACTTCCTTATACACCTGTGTCATCTGGAGATGCATCTCAGCCACATCCCAACCTGTACCATGGAGGGATTCAGATGAGATGAGGGCTATGAGCCACACTGCACAGACCTTTATGGGCTTTTGTGGCAAAACTTTTGCAGACTGCAGAAGAAAGAAGCTTTCATATGAGTCATTGTGACTCTTTGTTTTTCCATAGAAGTATAGTTTGGATATGCTCAGACTATACTATGACCTTACCTACTTAATTAATTGGGCACAACAGAAAATAAGTACCAAAAAAGAAATTGAGAAATAGCATCTTAGATTTTGTTCATGTATTTGTGAGGGCCAATAAAGCATACAGAGGCAAAATGATAACATTTGTTCTGTGTATCTTCTTCATCCTGGCTTATATCAGATCCTGGCCACACGCAATTAAGAAACTTAACACAACAGCTGGGGCTCCGCGACACTCTGAATCTACCTGTGCTCAGATATAGTTGCTATACTCAGGTCACTCCCACACTTAAGGGAGTTTGCACTGATTCAACTTCAAAACATTGAAACTGAATCATGATCAGTACGATGGTTTGAATAAAAGCTTCATCTAAAGTATGATTGGTTCAAACCCAGGGAGTTCTTTTTAAGATTCACACTGTTGGAAACACTTCTATCGCTTTTCATAAGAGGAGTTCCCACTCCCACAGTAGCAAAGACTTGAGCTGGAAAGGAAAGATAAATAGCACCTTGGAGTTCTGGTTTTCAACTATGGTCACACCAAGCACAAGGCTGAGTTCTGCTGGGCAAGGCAGGTGAGATCTTCTCCCCACCTTCTGGCCAAGCAGGACAAGCACTGCCTGGTCCTACCCACTCCAGGGAGCAGGGCAGGCAGCCTGGACTAGTTTTCCTGAGTCCTGCTTTGAGGGAAACATACTGTGAAGGACTTGGGGAGCCTTCTACAAGCAGGGAGAGGGAAAGCAGGAAGAAAGAGGAGGGCTGCACACTGCAGAGGAAGCAGGGACCACAGCTCTGGAGGGCAGCAGCCTGCCTTCACAGCTGGGCCTCAGGGAGGTCTGCTGTTCTTCTGCCTTCAAGGGATAGCTGGAAATGAGCAATATTTAGGGATGTGAGATTAAGCTGCTGATAAAGGAAGGACTGAGTGGGTCTTGCACAGTAATTGGTGAGGGCAGAGACTGGGAAATTCATCCAGAAAGTCTGCAGTGGAGGACATGAGAGCAGAGCATCATGAGGTGGGGAGGCAAATGGCCCCAGGCCTTGCCAGCCACAGAGCAGCATGAGGTGAGGAGGAAATGCACCCAGGTACAAAGGGACAGACAAGCAGCCATAGCATGCTCTGTCTCTTTCTCAAGAAACCTCAAATTTGGATGTGAGTTTTCCCCCTGTGCTAGCTTAAGGCTGCTCTGTGCTTATTCAGCCAAACGTTCAGCATGCGGTTAACTTCTGGGCACATGAGTCAGCCCCTGGGGCTCCGGTTGGACTAAATCATGTGCTTAACTTTTAGTTTGTGCTGAGGTTCTTTGCTGAACAGGAAGGGAATCTCCTGCACACTTAAGGTTAAGCAAGTGCTGGAGCACAGGTCTGGGCCAGGGCTAACCTGGGAGTGAGGCCACAAAATGAACACAATCTGCAGAGCTGTTAGAAGCACAGAGAAATGAAAGAACCGGGCCTGCTTTTTTATGGAGCTTTTCCTCTTGGTTGAATCTGTCAAAGTGAGCAATACTTAATAAAATTAATAATAGTAAAATAAAATACTTAATAAAAGAAAAAAAAAAAAAAAGGAAGAAATCATGCTTGTTTCAACACTTACGAGATAACAGAGATCTGGACAGGAGATCATTATGCAGTTTTCTATCTTAAAAGACACTGACTGTGATAATTACCCTGGTTTTCTTTTCTCATAGCTGTAAAATTTTCATATCAACATCATTATAAATGTTGTAGATTAGAGGTAATATTGCAGGTGTGCAATGATGTAAGAGAAAGGAGAATTAGACTGATTGTTATATGCATCTGCTTGGATCAATTCATGCTTTTAATCAAAGATGCATCCAAACATTTATTTTTAATTATACTACATTTTTTCCCAACTCATTTCTAGGTCTTAATAAATAAATAAATAGATAGATAGATAGATAGATAGATAGATAAATAAAATATTCGAGCCACAGAAATCTTTTGTATCATGGGTATATCCAGTTCTTCTGGAAAACTTTGCTGCTTATCATACACTGAATGCTTTTTTTTCAAGCTTGCAGATATTGTCTGGGATGCTTCCCCACAATTGTACTGAGCCTCCATTTAACAAGCATTTAAAACTGAGGGTATGTATTTGTAGCAAAAAGGAGAATATGTGGCTTTTTGACAACTGCTATTGAAAATCACACACTCTCCAATGCTGGCAGGAGGGAATTGTGATCAATGGGTCTGTCTCTGGATGGAGGCAGGTCAGAAGCGTGTCCCTAAGGGGTCAGTCCAGTGCTCTTTAACATCTTCATCAATGACACAGATGGCATCGAGTGCACCCCAGCAAGTTTG